TTTAGTTTCTTCAACAAAGGAAAAAGCAAGTCTCTCTCTCTCTTTTTTTTTTTTTACACTAGAGTCTTTTCCTGTTTCAATATGGCGACCTCTAATCTGCACAGTCACAGTTTGCAGTTTTTTGGGGTTTTTTGCCAAACTACCTCTCTTCTTCCGTTAGGGCAACCCAAAAGGGAGGTTACAAAGTTGTCCATTCTTCTTCAAGTATCCGCAGTTTAAATCCACTTCTTCTCACCTTCTCACCTTCGTTTTCGCTGTCTTAATAGTTTTAATAGCTTTAATAGCTTTTTTTTTCCTTTTCACTGCCGATCTATGCTCCGTCCTCTTCCTTTCTGCTCGCCTCTACAGTTGCCGCCCGTTCACGCTCTGAGGTCTTCTCTTTCCACGCTGCCCCTCCGGAAAAATATTCTCTCCTCAATTTGCGCCAAATTATTCCAAATTATTGATTCTTGCTTCTGCTCACCCTCCACGATCTTGCACTGTACTCACTCCTCCGCTCCCGATGGTCTCAATCGGCTCGTTGGGCCTCCGGGCCAGCTGTGCTCGTCGCGCCCGCTGGCTTCTTCCGAGCCTGGAATGAGGGATCCTCACGGTGCGGCGAGAGATCGCACCTCTCTTCGCCTCCCCCGAAGTTTCCCCTCTCTATTCCCGATCTCTCCAAGATCGGTCTCTGCCGAAAGAAGGCACCAAACGCTCAGAAATCCGACACTAGAGAGAGAGCGTTTCTCTCCTGTGCCGCCACGACCCTACGTCACCGCTGGAAGTCCCCAGTTTCACTAATTTTGTTATGCATCTTAAAAGTTATAAATATATTTGTATGTGTGGCTTCAAAAAACCAAGTATTTATTTTAAAAATAATTATGAAAGCTATTATTTTATTGTAATGTCTGAAAAGTATTTGGGAAGAACAAATGGAACCTCAAGAGTCCCTTGTCTCATCTAATGCATCTTTATGGAGAGAATATTAGCTTCAGTTTGGGCTGCTGTTTTTTCAATAATCTTACTGTAAATGCTATTGTGATTATTTCAGAGGCAGTTGAAAAGCAGCAATAGAGATAGGGTTTTGAGAAAGTATTGCAGACAGGTTCTTTTATTTGACTGGTACTAGTTGAAAATCTGTTTCTGATCATTTGAATTACAGTTTTATATTAGAATACATTTATTTTCAGTAGTTGGGTTTCAGATCTGGATATAGTACTAAGATGGTGTTGATTTTGTTGATGATGGTTGGCTGGACTAGATAGAGGTAATGCAATCAGTCCAGCCCACCTTGACCTTTCAGTGGCTTTCAGTACCATCAGTCATGACATCCTTTTGGATTAGTTTGGCAGGGGGCAGGGTTAGGAGTGGGAGGCAGCACAGTATTGTAATGGTTCTGTTTTGCTTCTGGGGTCAGTTTCAATTAGTGCTGTTGAGAGGGAGAAGTCTTGTCCTAGACAAGAGGTTTCTCAGTGTTCTAATCTTTCCCCATTCTTATTTAACATCTACATGAAACTACCAGGTGAGGTAATCTACTGTCAGTATACATCTCTTCCCTAACTGACCAACATTAATTGTTTCTAAGTTAAGCCATTGGTTCTGAAAATATATAAATGAATTCATAATTGCTTTATTTATTTAGAAAATATTTCAGTTTTACCCATTGTTATCCAACAGAGTTCTAATATAATATTAATAAAAAATTCTTTCTTAGCACATCTACAGTAAGCAAGCAATATTTTTTGTCTGGGAACTGAAGTGGACAAAAGAACTTCCCCCATCATTGCAGTGCATATTTTCAATGAACTTTTGTTCTGCATTCTCGGAGGATCACTCTTTTTCTCTGAAGCCGTATACTTATGAATTCCAGCTGGAAAACTTTTTTGTAAGTTGTTAATATCTTCTTGTTAGAGGACTAGGATGCAATAAGTAATGACAAATTACATTAAAATTGATGTAGGAGATGCTATTTTTCCGCTGCAGTACTTGACATGTATTGGTTTATAGTTTATACTTGCCCTATTTCTGTCTTTGTATGACAAGTGGCTTTTTAAAACTGTAGGATCAAGAAGGATATATATTTAATTGTGATAATCCTGTGGGGCTTTCTAGTACAGCATCATTATTGAACTTTCTGCTGATGTTGCAAACTTATAGATTGCAATAAAGCATTTTATATAATCATTGTTCAAAGTATCATGTGTCTAGTGCAATCACCATTAAGGTTTTGCATTTGGGATACCAAAGATGAGTTACAAAGCAGCGACTAGCAAAATGTTTAATGTTATTGCAACAGTATTAATTTTTATAAATTACGACTAAATGTCAGTTTTAAACATAAGAAATTGACTTGTATGGGATTTTCCCCCCGATGCTGTGTTTGTAGAAACTTAAGAGGTTAGGGTCTTCTATCCAATCAGAAAAATGGATTATCTCTTTATCAATTTGAATAGTATGAAAAAGTTATCCTTTGTGTGTTGACCATAAATATTATTGTATTCCTGCCAGACATTGTATAATGTGAAAGCTGAGATTTCCCCCCCATTGGGGGCAGAATATTGTAAAACAGGCTCGCTCTGTTCATTGGAAGTGTCAATTACCCGTCTTTTAGACCTCCTGGATGTGGATAAAGACGAAGCATTAACAGAAACGGATGGATACTGTACAACCAAACTAATGTATGAAGGTTAGTAAATATTTATTACTCAATATTTAGTTTGGTTACTTATTAGTTGATAACTTACTGAACCATAATGTTAGCATCAACTGTCAAAACAAGCATTTTTATTTTGGTATTTCAGCATATAATGTATTTATTAGATTTATATCCTACCTTTTGTACAAGAACTAGAGACAGTGTACACAGTGCTCAGTCCTTCTGTTTATCCCATCAATAGCAACCCGTGAGGTGGCACTGAACTGAGCTGAGAAAGAGCAAAGTTGCCCCATGAGTTTTCAGAGTTGAGGAAAGACTAGAACCTGGGTCTTGCAACTCAGCACCTTAATTGTTACATCAGATTGTTGTTGTCACTGTAAACAGAACAGTGAAGATATTTAGAGAAGAATCTTATAAATGTAGTCAAGTTGATTCCTTAAAAAGTACTAGTAGAATCATAATCCTAAACTTTTTAACACAATTGTGTTTTTCCAGAGATGATATTTACATAATAGAAATATATGTTTTACTATTACATTAACAGGCAGAATGCTTGAAAATTCAATCTTGTAAATATGTTACACTTCCAATATTGTTTCCTTTATAAGCATGTCAAATCTGTAAATTTAAGCACCAGGTGATATCAATGTACAAAAGATTGCTTTACAGGATGTTATCTCCAGTGTTACATTGTGATACCATACCAGTTGAAGTAATAGTTGATTTTCAATAATATTTTCTCTTTATTTTAGTTGTGGATGACAGTAGTAACTGGGCAGTCTGTGGAAAGAGCTCAGGGGTAATATCTATGCCAATAGCAGTTCAAGCAACCCATAAAGTGCATATGGAAGTAATGCCCCTCTTTGCTGGATACCTCCCTTTTCCTGATGTTAAACTATTTAAATATCTCCCTCATCACTCTGCTCACTTTATGCAGCTTGATGCTGGTAAGAATATGTATATTTAAAAGTTATGTGAGAAACCACTAACATAAAATTATAGAATGTCCTTTCTCTATAGAATTTTGCTTCATAGCATTACACTATCAAAATTCTTCATGGTTAAGGACATGTATTTTGGGTTAATAAATATTTATGTGGATGTTCCCATTCTCTGAAAAATGCTAAATATAATTTGAACAAAAATATTAACTGGGCAAAACAATGCATTATAGGGCAACAATTTTTGAATCAAGATACTTCAAATAAGCTAATTTACAGAATGTGTTCAAAATCTGAGACATATGACTCCCATGGAATTGAAATTTGGCAAATTGTATAAATCATTTTATGACACAAAAATTACCAAAAAATTGTTTATGATAATGCAAATGGCATTGAGCTGATACATCTCTAAATGTCTCCCTGAATGTTTAAGAATTTTTCCAGTGAAGGCAGAACATTAGAAACTCTCTTCGTTGCTGAAGAGTTTCAGCAATCTCTTGTCATTGAGGAATCTGGTAAAGGAATATCTACAAAACAATGACCCAACAAAAAATAACTAAAAATAGTAGGCTTTTGAGACTTCAATAATCATTTCTAAGGTATTATATCTTATTCTTCATAGAACCTGTTGTGCTGATGACATATAGATGAAGTATAATTACTTATTCGAATGCTGCCAGTGTTTTACAATCTTGACATCTTCTAGGACTAGGACTTCAGATCCCAGATTTTTCATCTATTGCTGTGCTAGCAGTGGAATTCTGGGATTTGAAGACCCTATACCTGGAAATTGCCAGAGTTGGGAATGATCTGATTATTCCTTCTGTACTGGAAGCTCCAGTAAGTGGCCTGAAACTTATAAACATTTACTTTGATTCTTTATTAAGCATACGTATACGCTGCCTGCATGCTAAGGCACTAGGTTAAAAAAAAAAGTCAAAACTGTATTATAACAGATAGCTCTTTTCTTTATAGGAACTCCTTAATTTAGATTTTTCATCTGCCTCAGTCGGGATGCATTCAGATTTTTATCTGTGAGAACATTGAGAAGAGTTGTGTCCTGGCTGGCTTTTTTTTCTTTTTTAGTGAAACTGATGTCATATATTTGTCAGATTTTGTTCTTATGTTAATATACTACTTTAAATGCATTCATAAATAGTCTCTGATAATTTTAGTTAATAATGAGTGCAAGCAAATTAATTATAATAAAAAATGTACAGATGAATGTGAAATAGAGCTTCACATTTTTTTTTTTTTTTTTACAGATAGCTGGATTGAAAATGATAATCTCTCTGTGGATAAAAATATGGATGATCAAGCTGACAACAGTAGCATAAAGAGCAGAGGCAGCATACATTCAACAACCAGTGCAGAACACAAAGGTTTGCCCATGCCCCGACTTCAATCATTTTCCCCTGGACAGGTCTTCAATTCCAGTTCTGGCATGCAAATCCTTGTCATTCCCAGCAAAGATGATCACATTTTGGAAGTCAATGTCACATGACGTTTCTCTGTAGATGTGTAGAAATATGCACATGAGACTTGAATATAAATGCACTTTAAGAGATCATAACCTGATAGTTCATCATTGAGATATTTTAACACTAATAGGCCTATGGCAACTTAGTCCTTACTGGCCCTGGAAGCATCAGACAATTGTATCAATTTAAATGTACAGTGATACTTGTAACTGCTAGTTTATATTGCTACTTTTTGTGTAAAATGAATTCTGGGATTTTTTTCCTCTGTCATTCTGCTGATGAAATAAAAGATGCTTACTGCAAATGGTTAATTTGAGCAGCTTCAATAATAAGGTTCCTGCTCAAATAATATTTCAGGTTGACATACAGTGTAAGTCTTGCAGTGTGGCAATTAAATACTAAAGTGTGTGCCTTTCTAGTCACATGATTGTCTGATTTCCTGGACCAGGGTACTTTTCCAAATTTCTGTGTAATAGAGCGATTCTTAAACCCATAACTATCTACAAGATTTTAAATAATACATGTTGTGTATATATGTAGAGAGAGATAGATATATATTTATTTCTTGAAGACTTAACTTCTTCTGTGCCTTGGAACATAATACAGATTGATCAGTCTGCTGATGTTCTTAAATTTGTACCATATAGAGAACCATATTGTCAACACATGGGATAATATGCAGAGACACATATACATATATGCATGCACACCTTGATGCAAGTAGCAAAGTGGCACAAAAGTGGTTAAGTTAAAATTAAAACACATAATTCATTAAGTTTGGAGTGAAGACACAAAACCTGGTCTAAGATTGTCCCCAAAAGTAATGCTTAAGTGATTAGATGTAAGATATTGAGTCTTAACTAAATTGATTTTGTTGAATATTTCACTTGATATTTTTTAACACCAAAGTTTCTTTTCCTGTTACAGTTGTTAATTTATTACGGACTGCAGAGCCATATATATAGTAAAAGAGCAAGTGTGTTTGTATATGCACACAAGCTTCCATACCATACTATAAGCTGAAAAGGCAAGAGCTGCAGGGAGCCTTAATTGTTTTTGCAATCTGGTTATAGGTGAATTTAAGGTCCTAGTTTGAATTTGTGGTGCAACAAACTGCATTTACACCACCTGATTACTTTTTAGTTGTAAATCTATTGTATAAATGATTATTTTAAAATGTCTGAAATAATCTGATGTCTGTGTATAATTTGTTCCAGAAATCAAGGACAAAATAAATGTGTTTTTATCGGTGTGAAAATCAAAGCTTGTAAATACGTTTAATATGTAGAACTTTTTCCAGTTCTTAGAAACAATGTATTTTTGTATATAAACATTTCTCTAAATTTCACTGTAATTACCTTAGCTGCTGCTCATATCAATTATTAGCTTACACAGTTACTTTATTAGTGAATATATGTAGCCTCTTAGTAATCAGCCTCCATCACATTTGAAATGATGATAATTCCAGATATAGGAGGCAAAATGAAATTAAAATCCAAATTCATTTATTAAGCTATATAGTATGTGCATGTGTTCCAAAATTGTGTATCTATTCTTGATTACTTTGCCTACCTTCAGAGCAATTGAACCTTATTTTTTTAGGAAATGAGACATCACATTTCTGCTCATTTGTCAATAGCTGTTCAGTTTTCTTCCTTTTATAGAAACTTCTCTCATGAAATTTCCATTGAAGTCAAGTAGATTGTCTCTTTGCCATTTGCTTTACTTAGAAAAAAAACACAAGCTCTCAAACATCTTTTTGACAATAATTTCTCTTAATCTTGGTTATTTCCTTATAAGAATTAACAAAATTACACAATGAACATATGTATACACACAAGTTTCTTGTTTATATAATTTTTTAAACTAGAGACTGTCTTTCAAACAAATTTGAGTATAAATGTATATTTTGGACATAATGAATAACCTGATTTATTGTGAAAAAATCTAAAGGCAAAGTTTTATTAGCAATTAATGTAGAAGGCTTTCTTTTGTTATAGCTTCAGAGCAGCATAAAGTTTTCATGTTCATATTGAAATGACGAACTTCACTAAAATACACCAGAAGTGTATTTTAATCACTACTGAGGTGATAACATATGTACAGAAGGAAAATATTGCTTTCTAACTTGTAAATAATTGATTCAATTTGCAATATATGCATCTGGGGGAAAAAAGACAAATGATCTTATTTGTAGATAACTTTCAAGCCTGTAAATACGTATGAATGGGTTAAAGGAGTAAAATTTTGATGATTTTCACAGATTTGTGATTGGAAAAATTAACTCCTTCTATGGAAATTGTTGGATTTAAATGACATTTGTGGCATATCCTACTTGCAACTCTGTACAATATTACACTATAGGTGTAATGTCAATGTAGAAAAGCAAATAGGAAAAATATCCAGAAAATTATTATCCAGTTTGATTCTTTCCTAAAGCAATGCCATGAAAAGTAGGGAATAAACTGTTAAGAAATGGAAAACAAGCTACTGGATAAAGTGAATAAAAATCTTGAATATTTTAAGCAAGTTGTTCTGATTCTCAACATTTGTGTATATGTTCCTTTGTTTCACATGAAAAACTAAAGCCAACCATGAATTGAGCTTGACTCTTGTTGACTTCATGGACAGAACTATGCAGTTTTCTTGACAAACTGAACTGTTGGTTTGACTTCCCAATCTAGCCTTCAGGCTTGGTAGGAATAGGTGGTTTCCCATCCAATTATATGTCAGGGCTGAGTCATATTATTTGTGCCATGTGCCATTTCATGTCACATTCTTAACATACACAATTAACAAAACAATCTAATCTTAAAAACATTAATAGAAACAAAAAGGGGGGGAACTAGGAAAATTCCCAACCCCAAATAAACTAAAAAAGAAGGGGGAAAGTAGAAGGATGAAACCCATTTTATATATCATATTTAAGAATAGTCAGTGGTTACTGATCAATACAATAATCTGACAGTACAAAATATTATAAAATACCACGAAGTTCAGCCATTGTGACATAAATTGCTGCATTTTACTAGAAAATACCTTTTTCAAAACAGATATAGATTATATATATCCAACAACCAGCCTTTGACATCTGGAACATCATATTTCCAACATCTCAATATTAGAACCCCCATATAACCATAGTTCCTGCTAAACAGTCAGATTTCAAACTCTGGTATACAACTGAGGGAAAAAGTATTTGACTCCTGCTGATTTTGTATGTTTGCCCACTGACAAAGAAATGATCCATCTGTAATTTTAATGGTAGGTTTATTTTAACAGTAAGAAACAGAATAACAACAAAAAAATCCAGAAAAACTCTTCAAAAAAGTTATAAATTGATTTGCATTTTAATGAATGAGAAGTATTTGACCCCTTCACAAAACATGACTTAGTACTTGGTGGCCAAACGCTTGTTGGCAATCATAGAGGGCAGACGTTTCTTGTAGTTGGCCACCAGGTTTGCACACATCTCGGGAGGGATTTTGTCCTACTCCTCTTTGCAGATCCTCTCCAAGTCATTAAAGTTTTGAGGCTGACATTTGGCAGCTCGAACCTTCAGCTCCCTCCACAGATTTTCTAATGGAATTAAGGTCTGGAGACTGGCTAGGCCACTCCAGGACCTTAATGTGCTTCTTGAGCCACTCCTTTGTTGACTTGGCCGTGTGTTGTGGGTCATTCTCATGCTGGAATACCCATCAACGACCCATTTTCAATGCCCTGGCTGAGGGAAGGTGGTTCTTACCCAAGATATGACGGTACATGGCCCTGTCCATTGTCCCTTTGATGCAGTGAAGTTGTCTTGTCCCCTTAGCAGAAAAACACCCCCAAAGCATAATGTTTCCACCTCTATGTTTGACCGTGGGGATGATGTACTTGGAGTCATAGGCAGCATTCCTCCAAACACAGTGAGTTGAGTTGATGCCAAAGAGCTTGATTTTGGTCTTGTCTGACCACAGCATTTTCACCCAGTTCTCCTCTGAATCATTCAGATGTTCATTGGCAAACTTTAGACGGGCCTGTACCAGTGGTGGGTTCCTCCCGGTTTGGCCCGGTTCGGCCGAGCCGGTAGCAGTGACGATAGGACATCACCGAACCGGTTCTCTTTGTTCGGGAGCTGGACCCTCCCTCCCGCCCCCGCATTATTCTTACCTTTTATTTCTTCTTTTTTAGCCCAGCTGATAGGTGCAGCAGAGTGGATTGCCGCACCTCAGCTGGGCAGATTCGTAATGCGAAATGCGTGCACCAAGAGGCGATCACGCGCGAAGTGCATCCATAAAGAGAACCGGTAGTAAAGGCGGTTAGAACCTGGCCTGTACATATGCTTTCCTGAGCAGAGCAAACTTGCGAGTGTTGCAGGTTTTCAGTCCTTCACGTAGTATTATGTTACCGATTGTTTTCTTGGTGACTATGGTCCCAGCTGCCTTTAGATCATTGACAAGATCCTCCTGTGTAGTTCTGGACTGATTCCTCACCGTTCTCATGATCAATGAACCTCCATGAGGTGAGATCTTGCATGGAGCCCCAGACCGAAGAAGATTGACAGTTATTTTGTGTTTCTTTCATTTACAAATTGCACCAACTGTTGTCACCTTCTCACTAAGCTCTTGGCAATAGTCTTGTAGCCCATTCCAGCCTTGTATAGGTCTACAATCTTTTCCTTGACATCCCTGGACAGCTCTTTGGTCTTGGCCATGGTGGAGAGTTTGGAATCTGCTTAAGTGCTTGTTTCTGTGGACAGGTGTCTGTTATACATGTAACAAGCTGAGATTAGGAGCACTTCCTTTAAGACAGTGTGCCTAATCGCAGCTTGTTACCTGTATAAAAGACATCTGGGAGCCAGAAATCTTGCTGATTGATAGGGGATCACTTATTTCACTCATTAAAATGCAAATCAATTTATAACTTTTTTGAAATGCGTTTTTCTGGATTTTTTGTTGTTGTTATTCTGTCTCTCACTGTTAAAATACACCTACCATTACAATTACAGATGGATCATTTCTTTGTTAGTGGCAAACATACAAAATCAGCAGGGGATCAAATACTTTTCCCCCTCACTGTATAGTTCAACATTACTTTGTTCTGATTATTCTGCGTACACAAAGAGAGCCAGTGGTAACACCGGTTGGAACCTACCACTGGCCCTTCCACAGCTCTCCAAAACAGACAAGGGTGGCCAGGTTTACCATTGGCTGTATCTTGTTTCAGATGGATGGATATTCAAAGACTTAGACTTATCATTCTAAGTTGATCTGGTGGAGATTTATTTTAGTAGCTTTTCTATTAGTTTAATGTGTTATCTTCCAGTTAATTTCTTTTCCAGATAGAGTTTGACAGAAACCATCATGTTGCTATAAGATTAATTAACCTAAATAGTGCACAAATACTGTCTTATTTCTGATTCTTATTTCTCATTTATAAAGCACTCTATGGAGATTCTCAATTGTCCAGGTCATGGTTGTCCCAAAGGTGCTTTTCCAAAAGGCAACTGGAAAGCAGCTGTATATAAAATAGTCATTTGCCTTGCATCAATTAGCATGTAGGTACTTCTGGTCACTGGGTGTTTTAATGAATCTAAACTTTTACATAGAACTATATTTAGGTTTCAGAGATTTGGCAAGCAAATACTATATTTGGAATTCCAAGTGCAACATTTGCAGGTAGGATTACACTCAATGGAGACATGTTATGCTGCTTCATTTTTCCTTTTTGCAGTGAATAGCCTTGAGAATCATGAAATTCAGGAAAATTGAATAATTTCTTTCCTTTATTTAGATGCCAAACACATTTCCCAGAGACATGGACAAATGCACCTAAAAATTCGTGCTAGTTTTAACACAGGAAAATAAGTCAATATAGCTATTTAGTAGTTTCAGAGCAGCCGGAGGATGCTACAGAATTTATATCCACTCCTAAAAAAAATTGTGTGTGCTTTTTCTACACTTCCTTCCAATCTAGTCACTAGTGCCTTAACCACTAGGCCAATCAGGCTCTAGGATAGTGTGTTATTGTTTTATTCTTCCTTTGTGGATTTTATTCCTTTGAAGTTTTGTTGATTGTTTTATGTGTCATTTCTAGCAGTTGCTTTTTTGTTATGACAAAGGTGTTGCAGTTGTCCATATACTGAATCCATACTTTTGGTTGTATGTGTGGAAGGGCCAGTGGTAGGTTCCAACCGATGTTACCACCAGCTCTCTTTGTGTATGCGTTTTGTGCGCAATCGCAGCACGCATGCTCGCTTCATTTGCATGCGCACCGAACTTGCGCTCCGCGCAAATGCGTTAAATTTCTGCCAGCTGAGGTGCGGCAATCCACTCTGGCGTGCCTATCAGCTGGGCTAAAAAAAGAAGAAATAAAAGTAGGAATAACACAGGGGCGGGCGGGAGGGCCCAGCTCCCAAACAAAAAGAACCGCTTCGGTGACGTCACATTGCCACCGCTACTGGCTCGGCCGAACCGGGAGCAACCCACCACTGGGCAGGGCTATATTTCTACATACTGGGTCTATGACCATAAATATATCCAGAACTAGTGAAAGAATCCATGGCAGCACTACTACACAGCATACCCAACCTACACTAAGATCAAAATACCCAGAATCTGGGACCTCATCAAACTCTGCCTCACTACCTACATTCAGTTTGACAAGTAAACTAACAATCAGAGCAACACCCGTGGGATCACCACTCTCAGGACTCGTAGTAGTAGAGACTGTAATGCAGTGTCTAGAAATATAAGTGGGGACCTGCACAATTTTTATAAGCTCTCTTTTTGTGGCAATGATCGACATATTTATCTAAAGCATCACACTGATTGCCCTCGTTTTCCTCTTTATTGTTCCAGAGCAATAGTGACATACAATCTGAGGGTTCAAATAATTTGAGAGTTTACCTACTAAAAGGCTGTCCCAGATGTCAGGAAACAAAGAGTATATTGATGCAGCTGGCTTCCGTCCTAACAAGAGGCCAGCAAAGTGTTTTCCTTAGGTTTCCTTTTCTACGCACTGGAATTATGTCAAAATGGGTGCAGAGGGTGTGAAGTGTGGAACTCTGGGCAACTGTTCAATTTGCCCATATCTAAAACCACCATCCAAACTACACTCTGTAATTTATGGCCACGTACGAGTTTGAAAAGAGGCCGACCCTATGCGAATCTCTAATCGAGGGCTTGCTCCTAAGAAACAATGCACACGGCTGGCACTTTAAAAGTCTGTTAAATCTTTTTTCTGGCCAATATATGTAGAGCAATTATTGAATCTGAACAACAACATTATTCGCACACGCACGTGCACGTACGAATCCGGACACTCCTGCTTCAGAGCTCGAGTCTCCGGAGATTTACAGCTCAAGCCGCCTGTACAAGGTTAAAACAAAGCGGCCTCCAGTTGCTATGGAAACATTTTTGACCCGGAAATGAGACGAGGAAGCTCTTCCGGTTGCCTCGCCGCTTTCACGTGCGAGGCGCTTTGCTTCTAGGAGTGGGACGAGGGGAGCTGAGGAGATGAAGTTCGCCTACCGGGTGAGAAAACGGGGCCCTTTGCCGACTTGGGAATTTGCAAGTTTTCTTGTGTGGGTGGCTCCCTTGTTTCAGTTTTTCCAGCTTCTTTTTATCCCGTGGTTGCTTCCCCCCAGGCTTCACAAGTGGAGCAGGTTGGATATCCCTATCTTTGAAAAATGTAACTTGGGATAACTCGGTTCTTTCCCGCTTCCTCTCTCTCTGTTCTTTTCCATGAGTAGGAAACGTATTTGGTAATCCACGGGTTCACTTTGTCCCTGACAAATATCAGCTTTACATTTTGACAAGAGTGCAGCTGGATTGCTTGCAAAATCTCCCTCCAAAACATCTGAGAGATTCTCTACAATTTATCTAAAGCCATTTACTAATTACGTTTGAAATCAGTGCTGCATCTAAATTTGGTAATAGAAAAGAGTGACGTTTCTTTTGTAATCAGAGTAGTTTATAATTGTACTTATGTTTGTTGCAAATGAAATCAGATGGTTCTATTTTTTTCCTTTCTTTTGCACTTTTTTCTTTTTTAACTTTTTATTGATTTGTGTTAGTTTTTATGTTTTTGTAAAACTTTAAATTAAAATTCATTAAAGATACTGACATTATATCTTAGGATCAAGTGAAATATTTTGGGCAATTGATGTATAAGCAGCTGGAAAAAAAATTATGGAACTTTGTTTTTATATATGACAACTGCAGCAAGGCTATTTATTATATGTGCAAGATGGAAAGATTTGACTTTCCACCCTTAATGGAGGAATGGATAGTGAAGGCGATGAAACTTGCTGAGAGGGCTAAATTGACAGCTTTAATTAGGACATTGTCTAAATTTAATGATGAATACAAACCCCCAATTGCAGGAAACAGAAAAAAAATGAAGTCAGATGGTTTTTAGGATTAAATAAAAATAATGGAGTATAAAAAATATAAACAATGCTGTAACCATAAAATAACAGGTTATTTTATATTTATGCTTATAATTACTGTAAAACAAAATTGGAAGTCACTTCTTTATAATTCTTTTTCCTTTTTGTTGATTTCTGCACTTACGTATTTCCTCTTTCATTTTTCTTTTATTCTAAATATTCTTGTTAGTTTTTAAAATTTTAATAAAATTTTGTAAAAGAAAAAGAAATGGCACTTGATTAAGAGCTTACTGTTAGAGCATCTCCTAACAGAATTTATTTGTGCATTGTATGTATTTCTCTACATTTTGGCAGTGAGTTGGTTACAAACCATGTACACTTTTTAATTCCTATTCAAATTTGCATTGTCTGTAATTGCCTTCAAGAGTTACAGTACTGTACCACTTTTTGTGCTTTATTTCATTTTCTGTTTAAGTTGCATTAATGCAAGCATAATTTTATTTTTCTAGTTTTCCAACTTGTTGGGTACAGTCTACCGATGTGGAAACTTGAAGTTCACTCCAGACGGAAACACTCTGATTAGTCCAGTGGGAAACAGAATTACAGTCTTTGACTTGAAAAAGTATTCATTTATTTATTTGATTTATTTGCTGTTGTTTGTTCAGCTCAAAGCATGTATGATTGTTTGTCTTCCAATCCTGAACAAAAACAAAGCTGTGAGGTTGTTGAACTGAGAGTGTGGGACACTAGCTCAACAGCTTCCAGAGTGGAGGGTGGATTTGAACCTGGGTCTTCCAAGTGCCAGTCCAACATTTGAACCATTATATGTGGCTCCTGTACTGCGACCTCTAAGTGTATGATTAGTAAATAGCCTGTTAAAAATGTTTTTGCAATCTGCCTCTGAAACTACTGTTTTATGGAAGAGATTTATGAAATGCATTTGATAAGTTAGTGCTATAGAGGATTTAGTTTTCTATTCTGTTTCAAATATATTGGATAATGTTGCCTGGAAACCAAGTGCTATATTTTCTTCCTTACCTAATTCATGAATTTGGCAGAAATATATATATATATACCGGTAATTAAAATTACTGTATTAATTGCTATTCCGTTGTTGCTTTTGATACGTTATTCATCTGTTCTTTCAGTAACAAATCTGAAACTTTACCACTGGCTGCTCAATACAATGTTGCATGTATGGGACTGTCTCCAGATGGAAATCTTGCTATACTTGTTGATGAAGGTAATTGTTTAAGATGTTAAGAAATAATTTGATCAGTACAATTTACATTTACAAATGTTAGTATTTTAATATTTTCACTAAAAATAATCTTTTAATCTTTTGTTTAAATATTCAGTTGAACTGCAGATAAAATTCTTTGTGTGAGTTTAATTCTAATTAAAATATGAGTAGATGTAACATGTAAACAAACTGTTTTTATTTCATATTTGTAAAAATATTTGAAATATTTCTTCTGTTCCTTACAGAGGGATCTGCTTTACTTGTCAGTTTGATCAGTAAATCTGTTATCCATCGATTCCATTTTCAGAAACCTGTCCATAGTGTTTGTTTTTCTCCAGATGGAAAGTATGAAAACTATATTTGAGTAGTTGATTTTACTATTTTGCTTTTTATAGAAATATTAATAGCAATTAACAATAAAGTAAAATAAGCTTCATGAAAGTACTACTAAGGAAAATAAGTTTGTTTAAAGAAAAATAGATATAATGGAAGATAAAATGATTTAATAGATCATTCTCGTCAATCTGTTATTTATGAGTGTGTGTTCTAGTAGTAAATTATCAGAAAGTCTATCTGCATCAGAAGCATAAATAATTTTAATTACACAAATACTTATTAATTAAATTGGCTGTAGTATGACCTTTATTTCTATAATTTATTTTCAATTTTCATTTTTGTAAAACAGAAAATTTGTGATTACTAAAGACAAAGTTGCCCTGATGTACCATGCTCCAGGGAAAAAGAGAGAATTTAATGCATTTGTTCTTGACAAAACATATTATGGTGCTTATGATGAAACAACATGCATTGACTGGACTGATGATTCCAGGTAGGTTTTTGAATAGTTTACTGAGAGAGCCAAATACCTAGTTTCAGTGTTAATGATTCCTAGTTTCATTTCATGATTTGTAATCTAAAAATATGCAGTTAATGTCCCTCATTCCATTAATTTAAAGAAAGAAGCTCAAGCATTTCAGGAATATTTTCTTAATCTAAACATACAGGTAGTCCTAGACTTACCACCATTTATTTAACAATACTTCAAAGCTATGACAGCCTTGGAAAAAGTGTTTTACGACCTATCTTTAAAGTTACAACTGTTGCATCACTTCAAAAGTCATCGAATTGCAATTTGGGCACTTAGCAATTGGCTCACATTTATTTCCATTTGCAGCATTCTGTGGTCATGTAATCACAATTTACAACCTTTCCAGCTGGTTTCCGACAAGCAACATCAAATGGGAAGCTGGATTTGCTTAATAACTATGTGATTCACTTTATGACTGTAGTGATTCACTTTATGACTGCAGTAAAAATGGTTATAACATTGGGACTGTTCACATAATGACTGACTTGAGGACAAAAATGCCTGTGTCTATTGTGGTCGTAAGTCGAGGATTATAAATTTGTTCATTCCTTCATCTGTTTTCCAATTTATTTATTTGTTTGTTTGTTCAATTTATATGCTGCCCTTCTCTGGAGACTCAGGGCGGCTTACAATGCGTTAAAGAATTAAAGTTCTTACAGTATCCCAACATAAAAAGATTTATACTTTTGCCAATAATTCACTGGGTTTTTTTATATATACAAGCAGCTGGGTAGTGGTTAAGAGCACCACCTTGGATGTGGAAGTCTTGGGTTCAATCCTGTATCTTACCAGTAGGGGTTCTTGGTGAAAGAGCTCCTAACACTTCACCTGCCTACCTCAAAAATATGAGAGTGACAGAAATTAGGAGAGTCATGCCAGTTTGGGCATTGCTTGGATTAACAAGGTCCATGTCAGATGTTGAGGACCAGGACAATCTGTTGATATGTGGGCTACTGGACCATACAGACCAGTACATGAGCACAGAAAGGCATTGGAAAGAACATCAGAAGCTCAAAACACCAGTTGCTCATAGATATAGCAGTTGCCCAAGACTCAGGGATCTGCCAGACTAGACATTATCCAAAGCGAAAACTATTGCAGAGAGGCCTCAGAGATAGTCCAACACTTAGTGGCAGGGTGTAAGATGCAGGCAGGAATAGCATATACTGAATGGCACAACCAAGTAGTTGGCATTGTATACAGAAACATCTGCCCAGAATATGGGCTAGACCTAGACCTTCCTAAGTCCAGATGAGAGATCCCACAAAGATCATGGAGACAAGAAAGCTAAGACATTGTGGGACTTCCAGACCCACACAGAAAGCAGGTACTAATCAACCCAGACATCACGATAGTAGATAAGGACCAAAAGACAGCAGTGGTGATAGATGTAGCAGTACCAAATGACAGCAACGTCAGGAAGAAGGAGTATCAGAAGCTGGGGAAGTACCAGGGTCTGAAGGAAGAACTTTGCTTTAAACAAAACAGTTGCTAAGCGCATTTATTTATGCTCTCCACTCCCTTATGACAAAGGTCATAAATGTGAGAGTGGGCACATTTTTCATTACCCTTGTAACTTTGAATAGTTGTTAAATGAGGTTAGCTTATGTGAACTCATCAGTATTTTTCCCAGTGCATAAAGCAATTGGGAGATAGCTAGCTGGCATGAGTTTGTCTTATCCACAGCTAATTATCATAGATTTTATAGAATAACGATGAAGTAACTTTTTTTCTTTTAGATGTTTTGCAGTGGGTAGCAAAGATATGTCAACATGGGTGTTTGGAGCCGAA